TTTTTTGAGCCGGCGTATAACCCCAGCATGATCGCCTGCTCGTCATCCGCCAAGAACCATTCCATCCCCAATTGCTACTGTGCGATCAGGACTTGCGCGTTATCATCACATCAGGAACAGGCAGCCCTCCCGTATTCGCCTGCCGAGGGGACACCCATCCGCACGTCAACGACCGCAACGTTTTGATGCGCCCCTTTCGGTATGTCGGCATCCTGAGTGCCCTGGCCAGGATTGCCATTGCCGACGAGCAGACGGAATGCAACCCGTTGAACACGACATGTCCCGCAGATCCGGCATTGGGAACCGAGCACACTTGGTGGTTCAACTCTACTCTGGATGAGAAGCTGTGGGATATGACCACCGGGGTCCCGACATATACTTCGGAAGGGGCGGAGTTTTCGATCAAGACGGAAAATGGATCGACGCTATTACAATCCAACTTCTACATCTTCTTTGGGGTCATGGAAGCACATGTTAAGATGGCCAAGGGCGCCGGCATTATCAGCAGTGTGATTCTCCAGTCGGATGACTTGGATGAGATCGACTGGGAATGGGTCGGATACAACACCAGTGAGGTACAATCCGACTTCTTTGGCAAGGGGAACACGACCACGAGTAACCGTGGTGGGTTCCATGCCGTGGCCAACGCCGATACCGAATTCCACAACTACACCTCGTACTGGGACCAGGACCGCCTGGAATGGTGGATTGATAACGAACTGGTGCGCACGGTCAACTACTCGGAACCCCTGACCGTCTATGGCAAGAACTACCCGCAAACCCCGTGCCGCGTCAAAGTTAGCAATTGGCCGGTGGGCATTGCGTCCCAGTCGATTGGAAATATCGAATGGGGCGGTGGCCTGGTGAACTGGACCAATCTCCCCTTCACCATGACAGTGCAGAGGATTCGTGTCCAGGACTTTCACTCGGGTAAAGAGTATACCTACTCAGGGCACTCAGGCTCATACGACAGCATCAATGTCGTCAGGTATGATCTCTATATTCCTGCCTCTTCTCTCTGGTAGCTTTTGGTGGGCGAAGATAGCTGATCACTTCTGCAGTGGAAACTCCACCGCCAAAACGGAGATCAACAAGAAGCCCGCCAAGACCCTCGCTCAGAAATGGAATGACCTGGGCAAGGGGGCCCATATTGGTGTGTATTGCGGGGCTGCTGCTGCTGGGGTGCTCATCGTGGCCGGATTCGCCATGTGGTGCGTCCGGCAACGCCGCAAAGGTCGTCTCGAGCGCGGGCTTGCCGAAGGCCCGCCGAGTACGGCCAAGCCGATCGAGATGGAAGACTACAAGAAACGATGGAGGCAAAGCGACTGGGCGCATCGTGGATATCAAGCCGTGGACCAATAGATTTGTATAATCTTATAATGAATCGCATCTGATGTATATTATCTGGAGTTATCATGTTACTTCGTATATCTTCGCAGGCGTGCAAGGCTGATGGTCAACGCATGCTCTTATTCTATATAACACTGTAGATTGCGATACCAGATTAGCCACTCTAATCTGATTGCGGGTCATAGTGAGGTCTACTGACAATACTTACATCACTCCTCTTCTCATGTCCAACAGGTCATCCACGCTGGAAGAGTTTGAGTTAGTATAGCCTCGCAAGTGGAGGACACCGCATGATCCCAGAAGCAGAAGATGGTTCTGATGTGAGCGTATCTCGAAATAAGATGCCTAATGGAAGCATCCAGGAAATGTGCGATGTGGTCATGATCCGAATCGATAATGAACGTCAGATTGAAACTAAATTCAATAAGCAAGAGTTGATGACGAAGATAAAGGTTGAAAGGGAATCACTGGGATGTTGGCTGGTGAAGGCTATGCCTGGTAGAGAGTAGAGAGCATCGGGGCCATGCCCCCTTTCCTCCTTCGACTTCTATGTTCTCTATTCGAACTCAATGACTTCAATTCAAAGGACAACAAACGGCAAAGGTGTGGTGGTTCAACTTCAGCTGTGATATTTCTACCCCACCGGTGTCTACTTTGCAAGACCTTCTGGGACATGATAGTAATCACTATTTCAGGTCTTGTCACATTCATTGAGTCCTTCGAAACTACCAACTACAAGTACTACTCTGGCGTCTATCCAGCCGTCCCATATACGCCGCAACTTATTATTGCAACCACGCTAAGCATTTATAAAGAAGGATAGAAGCGGTATCTGAACTTTGGGAGGCATTTATTTCGATAGTTTCAAGGAATATTTGGACTATTTTCCCATGCTGGCGTTCCATTGTGAGGAATATATGGACATCAGGACAGTTACTACATCACCATTAGCACTTAGGACACAAAACCCACCGGTGGGTGCAACTTACATATTGGAACTCGAACCGGCCATCAACGTTGATGATTCTTTCACCCAAGTTGACATCAGCTGGCTGAAGCTCTCCCGCCTCGTTCCGAAGCTCAGCACGGAGGACGGGCACATTGTCGTCTCCTTCGAAGCTGAAATGGACGTTCTCGGCAGTCTCAAAGAAGTTGGCTCCTTCCCAGTCAAAGACGCCTAAGTCACAGGGACATGGTTAAAGCCTGCGTCGGTTTAAGAGAACAGAGAAACATCGGGAAAATACCATTGCTGTTACCAAGGTGTTGGTTTAAATCGATGGAGGCTTCCACCTCTTCGCCGCCAATAGTGCGCAGGCGAGCACAGAGGACGGGCCCCTCAACACGGACATCGATAGCAGACTCGTAGAAGTTTCCGGCCATGGTGAATGATCTGGAATGCTGATTTGGGGGGTTCGAGTGATTCGAAGATTGTGAAGTGAAGATGATGAGAACAGTAAACGGAGGTGACCGAAGCACTCCCTATATATACCCTAAAGCCCCCACCGTCAGGTGGGGTTGTTCTTCATTTCTCACAGTATGTACATTGTACAGTACTTTCCGTCTCAGCCACATGGCCGGTATTCATTTGCTCATTGCTGTCTATCCTGGCATGGTGGGGATGTCAGCCGGTTAGAGCTCGGTGGGATAGCTATCGATAGGAGTAGAATGGATCATCTTGGCGAGGCAGCCACAAGTGAGATCTCAGTTGGAGGGGCAATTGAATTGATGGAGGGGTAATCGAGACTGAGGGCGCTTAGCGAGCTGAGACAATTCTTGGCTACTATCAGTATCTTGCTCACCGCCACAATTGGTATTTTATACCAACCGCCATCCAATACATGAAGCCACACACTTTGTCGTATATCATATAGTTCCCAAATTGTTGGCCATGGTCAATATTCTTATTTAATTCCATTCCCTACTATACCACCGAGAACGCCTATGAATTTGAATATTTTACTGCAAGAAAGAGGAAACACTCTTCCTGACAGACTCTAAATAATTAGCGCATTCTTTTGGTGGACCGACCCACCAATGTGGAGAATCCATAATATACGTGGCCACAAAGAGAGAGAGAGAGAGAGAGAGTAGGACCCTGGAGCCCTGAATACGTCGATCAAGCACGCCACATCCGATGACATTCGCTCATAAACTCCAGATATGAGGGATGAGGTACTCTTATTATTTAAGAGACACATCCGCCTTCACCGTGTTCTATGTAGACACTTGCTCGGGAGGCAGCAGTCGGGCGTCGGCGACCAACTTTCTCTAGATCTTCCAGTTCGACTCATCTGATCCTCTACTCATGGTGCTGATGGGGAGATATCCCAGCTACTAATGTGGGGAACATTCAATGCAAGGGCACACTTGAGTTTTGAGACTACGCGGGGCGTATTCTTAGTCGTAAAATATCCATCCCCATGAAGATATTTATTCTTCCCGTGAATCGTGTCTAATCGTGCAATATACCATCCATAGTTGTCATGATATGTCAGGATAGATCAGCGATACGCAAATAAAATGTCCTCCAGGGCCCTACGTCGGGTATCCGGAAATAGAAAGTATACCAAACCAACGAGCATCGTGCCAAACACGCCAAACAGTACATACATCCCCCACTGCAAATTCTCGAAACCCACATCCATGGTGAACCCTAATATGATCTTGACAATCTCATTCATGGCTGTCGACAAGGCGACGCCCTTGGCCCGCTGGCGGAGGGGGAAGATCTCGGCGCAGTAGATCCACGATAATGGGGCCTATGTGAGTTTCAGTTAGTTAGCCAGGTGGTGACAGCGTTGGGGGGAGGAGGCGCACCCAGGTCATGGAGTAGATGGCCGTAAAGACACATGCCAGTGAAATCAGGACCCTGGCGTTGGACCCCGGGACAACCCAAACACAACTTGGCAGCAGCGACGCGACGGATCCATGGCTAGCCATCACTCCCGCAAGGGCATACTGTGCGCCCATGCAAATGGCCGCCCCGGCAATGAGGAGATAGCGGCGGTTTACAAGGTCGACTATTATGAGCGTGGCCCCGATGAAGAAGAGGTATAAGGAGCTTGTGATGCTGGTGGCGATCAGGCTCGTGTCTCCGGCCTTTAGAACGCAGCTAGGATTAGTGTGGGTGTGTCGTTTCTGTTAGCGGAAGCTGTAACTCACTTGGCCGGCCATCATAAGCCAGGAAGGAATGTAGTACATCGCGATGTCTGGTCCTAGTAGTCTCTGTCCCATCTGCACGCTTATCCCACACACCGTGTGCCGCAGATGGCAGCGACGGAAAAGGTCAAAGAAATGTGTTTGTTTGGCGTCGCGTGTAATATCAACCGTTTCTTTGAGCCGGGAAATCTCCTCTGAGGCCGTCTGGCTGCTATATCCTCCATGGCCGTAGAGCGCGGCTAGAGTTTCCTCGCACTCGGTCCAGCGGCCCTGCACGGCAAGCCAGCGCGGAGACTCGGGGAAGAACAGAAGAGAGACCAGAAGGATAAGCCCGGGGATACCCTGCAGCCCCCAGCTGAGGCGGAAGCCCCATGTGTGATATGTGCACGCATAGGCGATCAGGTATGTAGCGAAGATGCCAAGGCTAATGGTCCATTGTTGGAAGCCCACAATGCGCCCGCGGATGTCTCTAGGCGCGAGCTCAGCGAGGTAGACTGTGCCTTGGGAGGTCATTCCAGCTGCCATGGTTATAAGCTAGCGATCCAGCACTTGAAAGCTTAGGGACAATACCTGCGAGTCCGCCAACTACTCGTCCAACAATCAAGTGAGCGATACTCTGCGCGCTGCATTGCAAGGCGCTGCCAATGGTCCATACGACTGCGGCAATCATCAGCTGGGCTCGCCGGCCAAAATGGTCAGACAAATGACCAGCAATTATTGCGCCAAAAAATGCGGCTATAGAAGCGGACTCAGCAATCTGATGTTCTATCAGCGCAGCTCTTCCATGGGACTTGAGGCGTGTATCACAGTAGTTTGTTGGATTTCAGTTTCTGGACGGAAATACGACACATAGCCGTCATGATTCGACCACAAAGTCATCGACCTAGATTTGTCAGTTGCAATATGGGTGTTTCCTGAGGAAGGCAGAGATACATAGAGTTGCTTCCACTCACGGTCCCCCCTAGAGTACACAATACTGCCAGAACTATACTGGATTAGCCAAGGGATCAATCAAATATGTCAGGCATACCGTATATATTGGTTAGCATAGTGTCCTTTTCAACTTCCTAATTTTTACAACGAGAGCGTTAAACTCGGAGGTATGCTTCACAATGCTCATATTGGAAATTACACCGGTTATATGCCACGATCGGTTGCGTGGGGCAGTGCAAGGCTGGTGAACGCGAGGGTTTTGATGATCGTTGCCATTTTCATCTGTTCTCATACATCAGGCCGTGAAATGCATGTTGATCCCGGATTTCTTTACGCATATTTAGCCCCTGTATATCTGGCGGGTGTAGAGGATACCACTGTGACTAGAGCGATGCTTTGGCAAAAGCCCACGAATATCAGGCGCCTGGGGACCACTGTAAGAGGAGGACTGATGGATTGTTTGCACCCCAACTTGAGACAATATTCGCGTCTGGAAAGTGCTGAGTCAGTGATCGACGACGACCCGTGGCCGAACCAAATTCTATGCTTAGAAAATTTTGAACGACTTTAGATGTGATGGTGTTCATGAGGATTCCCGTCATTAGGCGATCGTGCATGGAAGAATATACGGCTTTCAACATCCCCGGTAAAGGGAACTTAGCTAGAGTGCCAGCATTCTCTGACGGGCATACTATTTGTTAATGAACTATTTGAGAGATTCGGTAGTTTTGTGACTACTTACCTCGTAAACCACACCGGGCTCGGTGTTCTCCTTGCATCCAAACATGTGTGACTCTCGTAGTTGCGAGATAAACCAAGTACAAGGAACCTGCTCAGGGCGCTCGAAACCTGGATATTTGAGAGATGCGTTTACATTTAGGATGTTCTATATCTACCCTGCTTGGAGGTTGGGTGCGGATTTGATCGCCTACTCGTGAGCTTCCACAACTTGAAGAACACATAGTGCTCCAGGAAGATATTCAAGTCATGCGGGAAAGCTTCAACATCTTCAAAAAATAATGTCTCACAGACCGGAAAGATCACTAATCGTAATATCTCGACGCGCACCGGAAAAACCCTTGACAATTCTATCCTCTGGTGTTTAATACATACGGAAATCACGGTAGAGTGAAAGAGTACACTTCTGCTTGGGGGCTGCACGAGGCATACTCTTGGTTGTGGAAAATATATCCCCATAGCCGTCCCTGGATGTGAAAAGGGACTAGGACATTGGCTATCCATGGCGAGCGAGAAAGTAGAAGTACATAGCCGGACTTGATGATTAGTCAAAGCAAACTACTACTCCGTTCTTCAATCCCGGGAATTCTCCTGTGGATCACTAATCTTCGGTAAGGGCGAATAGTGATAATACTCCTTCCTTACCTCGGTGAATAGATAATCGCTACAAATACAACCTATCACATACACACCACAACCTCGGAGTCTTCGCCATCAAGATGGGTTTATGGTATTCCAAGGCTGAAATACCGAAGCTTTATAAACCCCCGAATGAGAACGTGGTCACAGAATATTGTCATTGCATACCATTAACCCACCCACACGATACTCACTCGATCACAATGGCACCGATGAACTACCAAGTGTTAATTACCGGAGAGCAGGACATCAAGACTGCTCACAAACGACGAAATGTCTATCTCCGACCCTTCCTCCTATTCTGGCTCAATTCTCTTTTCGCAGAAATCATTTTCTTGGCCGTTGGTATTTTCATTATGACGGGGACCCGGGACCTTCTTTATAAGGCTTTATGGACTTTGGTTTTCTGTCCGCTAGGAATGGGCGGCGCGATGGGAGGTCTGATCAACTGCTTTATTGTTGACCATTACTATGGGAAAAAAGCGGCACATTTCACCGGTATCCTGTCACTACTCATACTAAGCAGTTGTAACTACCTGTGCTATAATCTTGATCGACATTTCGGTTGGTTTGGGGCGACTGAACATCCACTGTGGTTCCACTGGCGCTACCCAATGATATGGATGGTTGGTTACTTCAATGGACTTCTGTTGTTCACGGATCGAGGCCAGGAGCGATTGGCCAAGCTGGGACTTTGAATATCGGATATCGGTGAACGGAGACGGCATTCTTGGTGTTCCTACATCTCACATTAGGTCACTTTACGGACAACCTGCCCAGCCTCCTGCCCAGTAGTAGACGCTATTGGCGTGACGCATCGAAGGTTGGGGGATATATCTGTGATGGTATACATTAATCTCAGCATTTCTGGCTAGTATTAAGGATCGAATATGCAACTGTGCATGTGGTATGTGGCAGCTGATAACTTCTCAATTGTGGATGTATATAGAGACTTGCTGGGCATGTTGCTCCTGTCGCTGTTGGCCCAGATCGTGAGTACCGTACATTCAATCTGATGAGAATACAATATTTTGGATCCCGAGGGGAGTCTCCATGTTAGCAGCACATTTCTACCATATACCATTTCAGGCAATGTAACAGGTTGTATGTTACTTGTTGAAACATAGTGTCTTCCACATTGTCAAAGAACACGGGCAGAAACACCAGCTACGCCTTCTGGTGATGGACTCCATGAATAAATGGGAAAGCTACCGGCCAGTCTATAGGAAACGGTTATAGCCAGGTGTACTGAGGATTTCCAGCCTTCATTTAGGTTGAATTCCAATGCTTAGTAGTTTTCGCCGCACGTCTTGACTATCCTAACAAGAAGACTGGCGCTTAATGGAGCAAGGCAGCGAAATGCCACCGACTATGAGCTATATTCGGCGATCATCAGTCGCCTCTCACCTGAAAGGTTCTCCACAACAAGGAATGCAACCGAGAGATGAGCACCCTGCCCCATGGGAGATGCAGAACTTCGGCTCTTCACTCTTCACAATGCACTCGACCCTACCAATAAGGGGTCTCCATAGTGTCACTTCGGGAAGCGGGTAATAGTTTCTTCTGTGATAACAACAGATCAAATGTTGGATTACGTGGTAACCACTGAGTTGTGTTTATACTTCGACCGGGGAAAAGTGGTTGTAGTCAAAGGGTGGGAATTATTTTTGCATGGAATGAAGACCTATTATAATGCTGAGCCGACCGCCAAAATAATCCTACCGTTTTGTAGGAGTAAAGGCGTCGTGTCCAATTGTTTTTAACAAATCGTTATAGTCCTTATTCGCCATTTGCCACCCCTGTTCAATAACTTGTTGATGTTCAGGGCTTCGCACGCGGAACGAAGCCTCAAAGGGTGGAAGTGTATATATCACGCCGAAAGTCTCCGACCTGTCAGCCGCCTTCACATCCTCCAAGGTGCTCGTTACTGGACAATCTATGTCATATGCCCAAAGCATGCGCGCTATCGCGATAAACAGAGAGGACCGTGCAAAATGTTGTCCTGGGCATATTCTTCTGCCAAAGCCAAAGGCCGAAAGCGGAAGGTCAGGATTCTGGATCCATCTCTCGGGCTTGAAAGACGGAGCGTCTTCGAAAATACTCTCGTCCATATCCATTTCCCATTGATTGGCAATGATCGTGGCACCGGCTGGAAGGAAATACCCCATGTACTCATCATCCTCAGAGAGTGTACGAGGTCCACCCGCGGGGGCCATTGGCCGCCATCGGAGCACCTCGGAGATGAATGCGTTGACGTACGGGAGTTTATCCTGGTCCTCGAATGATGGGAGCCTCTGTGAGCCCACGACCTGGTCCAATTCTCTTTGTGCTTGCCGCATAGCATCGGGGTAGAGCAAACTGGCCATAACAGCTATCCGCAGGGTTGAGTCGGTAGTGTGGCTCCCAGCTATGTAGAGCTCCCCGATACTAAAAGCGAGCTGTTCTAAGGAGAAGTCTTTGCTTTCCTTCTTGCTGAAGGCTTCCTTGCTCCAGTTCCAAGTGTCCTGTTGCAGAGCGGATTGAATGCACTTTATGAATGCATTCTTCACATTATTGTGGCTTGCTTCGCCTTTGCCTTTCCACCTGGAGAACAATCTTGGAAGTCGGTCAAGGATTGGGAATATGTCAACCACGAAAGTCATAACAGAGGCTGCGCTGGTCAGTGATTCGAACATCTTGTCCATGTGCTCCTGGTCATTCTTATTCTCCTCGCCAACATCTTTTCCATATGCCAAGTTGAACATTACATTGGAGACATAGTTGTGGAAACAAGACCCAAAGTCGTTTGTGGACAACAGACTGTGCAAAGTCTTCTTGCTTTGGGTATCCAAAAGGGCCTGGCAAGCTCGAGTGGATTGAGGACTGAGAAACGTTGTGTGGAGCCGTCGATGAAGCTTCCACTCTGGTCCGTACTGCATGAAGACAGGCTGAAGGCCCTTTGCGATGTATTTGTTGACGTATACTGACTGAAGATGAGTGCTGTACAAGCTGCCGCGCTTGTCCAGCAGGTCCCGGGCGATGCGGTGGCTCCCCAGGATAATGATCGTCTGGACTCCGAGTTTCAGACTTACGATGGGGCCGTGCTCCTTGTGCCATTTTCTAAAGGTCAGCCATATTTCCTTTTGTGGGATTGCGCCTGGATTTAGAAGCGTTGGCCCCGGGGGAAGGGGTAATGTCGAGCGATTGGAGCGAACAAGCAACTTGTAGCAGATGTATAAGGTGATTGTAACCAAGCATGATAGGCCTATGAATGCCATGATCCCCTTTCTTCTTGCGAGGCGGCCGAATAATATTGGGTAATGTAAAACCCGATTTTATTTAGCAGATATTTAGAGCCCAAGAGGAAGCAGTATGAACCAGAAACGATGGTATTAATACTTTTTCTATTTCGGTTGTTTTATAATTGAGGCTGGTATGTTATGCGACCCTTCCGGGCCAACACCCGTATTCTGATGCAGGGAGCTGGGTTAGTTATAGTGGGGATACTCTCCGGCACGAATCTAGGTTAGCCAACTAGATGTTTCCCGTTGGTCTGGCGCAAGCTCACTTAGGGAGAGACGTTTAATCTCCCGTTATAAGCTTGCGTGGTTAGTTGTCAATATGGAAGCCCCTTGCTTGAAAATTCGCCGGAGCATCCTCTAAGGTCACTACCAGAGTAGTTCCTGAAACCGCTTAATAAAACCTAATGACTAATCCTTACCCCTTAAGGGTCTGATACATTAATAGCTATTTTGGCAACTTGAGCTATGTGTCATCTACTCCTTGTGTCGTAACGATACTGATTAGAACTACTGAGTTGTTAAGATTGATCGATTTCCCTCTTCCCTCCGTTCGAAGAGACGAGTGAAATTGCGTACATCGCTATGTTTTTTATCAGTATAGGGAAAGATCCGAGGTGTTAATATACCTACTAGCTGGTATGTAGGGGCTGGTTTAGCTCCTTAGAATGTTACAGACATGATCTACGAGCTAGGGGATGAATGAAACTTAAATGGCACATAAGTTGAGTAGGATAAGTCAAAAAAACAGTTATTAGAAACCCCTTTATTCTAATTTAATCCCTTGATTCCTCACCCAATTTTCTTTCACCAAATTTGAGACACAGGGTTTACCCTGGTGAACATAGGAATACCCCTCGAATGCCCTTCCTTTAGACCCAGCACCGTTATTAGCTCGGATGATTTCAACGTCGAAAGGTTCAACCCCTTACTGAGGGCGGTCTTAACGCAACATTGAAGAATCACATTAGTGGACCATCTCACCTAGGAGAGTACATGCTCCACTATACTTGAATTCACATCCCTTGCAAAGCCGGTACCTTTCCTCAACCAGACACCATTTTTGGATACCACGAGCAGCATAGTCCCACTGATCCGAACAATGGAAGCATGTGGATACTGTGTTGAAGGTGGTATTGGATCTAATTGTACCGATGTGGCGAACCCGTGAGACCTTTTTGGGTTCTGTGAACCAGCTTACGACAGCGTGTGTGCACACAGGGTACCCGTGGCTTCGTGCTGCGCTTTATTCTTTGCAGATCCATCATGCGGTTATGGGAGTTTGACAGAGTAGCCATTTGATATCAATAAGGATGGGCTGGGGTTTGTGTAAGTAGTGGCCGGTTAACTATGTATGGAACCAAATGGAATATGATCCCACGATTATGTGCGCTTCAAATGCGACACGCTCTATTGAAATCTTACGCCATAGCCAACCAAAACTCCTTGTTCTAGATGAGCATAGGAAAAAGGAGCTTTCGGGTTGGTGGCAGGGCGACAACGGGTGGGAAATTCCTCCGTACAGAAGGTGAAATCAAGTTTCCACTCGTGTTTAAGGACTCTTGGCAGTGTCCTGTGCTGAATGAAGGGGGTTGGGTTTACCAATGGTGCGAGGTTTTACTCCCATGACACCGTCCATGTGGGAGGAAGGATCGAGGATGTGCTTGGTGGCATCTATGAAAAGACCTTCGTATATTTAAGGCTGAAGGTAAAGGAAACAGGTGGACAGGCTGTCAATACTGTTGGACGAAAACCATCATCAGGTTCTTGTAGCGACACCGAAATATCACCCCTTCCCTAGGAAATGCACCTGCTCGAAGTTGCTGAGCAAAGACAGGGGTAACTCTGATACAATGAATCGAATAAACCGCCCTGCGATTATCTATTATGCCGGTGAATTCCTTTATAAATCTACCTTTCTTCTTTTGATACTCGCCCCATTTGATGTTTGGATGGTGATTAATCATACGCTGTATAATACAACAGGGCTTTTACAAGGAGATATGTCTACAGGTGGTATTATGGTAAATGAAGAGGTTATAACTGTCCCTGGCATGTATTCCCATCGATGTAAATCTCGTAGTTGAAGAGACACGCCGTCAGTCTACTGGGCCATAGGGTAATAAGTGAGTCAAAGGCTTTCATGCAAATAGGGCAGCTATTAGGTGACGGATTGTCCTGGGTACATAGACTAGAATTTATTTTCTGCGTTCTCTTCTGAATTTGGATTCGCTATGAAGATCCAAATGAGAAAAGCCTGATTATCGGGTAATTAGATGAGTGAGACTATGTCAGTATGGAAGAGTTAGCTAAGCTTAAACTTGGAACTATTTCAGACGATCATATTTTGAAAGTACTATAGACAAGTTCACGACATATTATGAAGCACTGAAGCCTTGGGTTGATACGCTACGAAAGTC